GAAGTACAATGATGTACACCTGAAATTTTTACAATGTTATAAACCAATGTTACTGCAATAAACAAAAAATTAAAAAAAAATAATGATGATAATTTTTTATTCAGAAACAGGATTTTTTTTTTTTTTTTTTGCTGAGGAAGATTCGTGCTGAGCTAACATCTGTCGCCAATCTTCCTTTTTTTGCTTGAGGAAGATTCTTTCAGAGCTACCATCTGTGCCAGTCTTCCTCTATTTTGTATGTGTCAGCCACAGCATGGCTGCTGACAAGTGGTGTAGGTCCACACCTGGGAACCGAACCTGGGCCGCCAAAGTGGAATGCATGAAACTTAACCACTAGCCATGGGGCTGGCCCCAGGATTTATTTTTTAAGGTAAATTCTTGGGCCTTTAAAAAGACACACATGGGGCCGGCTCGGTGGCATAGTGGTTAAATTTGTGTGCTCTGCTTTGGCGGCCCAGGGTTCACAGGATGGAATACTGAGCACGGACCTATGCACCGCTTATCAAGTCATGCTGTGGTGGCGTCACATATAAAGTAGAGGAGGATGGGCACAGATGTTAGCCCAGGGCCAATCTTCCTTACCAAAAAAGAGGAGGATTGGTGGCAGATGTTAGCTCAGGGCTGATCTTCCTCAAAAAAAAAAAAAACACACACACAAACCCAATCTCTTCTGTAGCTATTCTTGGATGAATGAGAGGTAATATTTACTTAATTGCAGTGTTTTCTTGATGCCAAGGAGCGTGTGAACACCAGACAATATGATTAAATTGTATCACAGAGCATGTTACCATTATAACATTAAATATCAAAACGTTCACATAGTATGAGTTGGGGGCTAAAACTGTGTTTCTATTACTACATCCAACTCATATGAACTTCAAATTTTTATGAAGTGTTAGTTACTGTAATGAGATTGTACCTCTTCTGGTTGAACCAGAAGTTGGGTACGTTAGATAGCTTCTTTCTCTATGATGAAACTGAAAGAGAGTCAGTTGTCAAAATAACCTTGCATCAACAATGTGATATCCAAGTACAACATGATAGGCGTTGCTTTGAATTTTACTTTTGTTTGAAACAGAGAACTGTTACCATAGTGCCCAAAGTGGGGCTCTTCTTGGCATGTTCAGGTGCCTGTGTGTTTGTTTCTCCCACCTAACCTCTCATCCACTCTGGATTTTCCCCTTGATTGGTCTTTTCTCCTTCTAGCTTTGATGGTCTGTTTTCTATTCTGTTAAGTCACAGGATGTTTTGTGGAGATGCTTTTTTTCAAGTTTTTTTCCAAAACAATGATGCCAAGACAGTCACAAACTCATTATAAAAATTATTGATTTTTACAAATATCCCATTATATTACTTAAAAGCAGTTTTACCGCAATAGGACAAATATCAAACCAGTATTCTTCATTAGAGATGGAGTCTAAACTGGCTCTGGAGAAGGCATCCATTGGATTCTTCCTTTAGTATAATTAGTTGTTATTATAAATGCAAAATCCTGTAGTTATGAACCATTTAGTAAGATAAAGAAAGAGCCTTAGTGTACAGACTCAGATTTATTAAAGCATCCAACATTTATTGAGCACTTACTATGTGCTGGACACCGTGCAAGGTAATAGAGATGCTGAAAGTAAAAACTCAGCCCCTGCCCTTATTAAAATATGATTGAAAGTATAATGGAGAATATATTTTCCATATAGAGTCAAAAATAATCTGTAATGGTCACAAATTTAGTGGTTTATATGAAGAAAAATGTCTTATGGTATAACTGGCTTTAGACACAAGTTCTCGAGCTGGAGAGGCGATGTAGAAAAGCATGAACTAGGAACCAGAAAACCAGATCTACATTCCTGCTTTGCTGCTATTCATCCATTAATTTAACCATTCATCAAATATTTACCAAGAGCTCACCCTGTGGGAGCAACTGTATTAGGTGCTGGGGAGCATGGTAGCAAATAAGAGAGACCAGCTCCCTGCCCTGTGTGAACAGAAGCAGGTGGCTTAACTTTTTCACGTCTCCAATCCTGGTTAGACTAAAGGTCTGAGTCTCTTTCAAACAGAAAATGCTAAGGTTTGTGACAGCCTCAGAGGGAGAAGCTGCCCAGGGGGCCTGGGGACTGGAGGACTTACCTTCCTCTCGGAGGGTTAGCTCTTGTCCTGATTTCAAAATAACTTCGTATACACAGTTTAAAAATGTTTTGGTCAGCCTCTCATCCGCATTTGAGTCATCTTGGCCAAGCCTGGGCGTGCCAGTTCATGCTCCTAAGGCTTCAGAGGTGGAAGGTTAAAGTTTGGAAAAAGGTGGACGACTTGCGTCAGTATAGCCAGACAGTTGTTCCCGGCGAGCAGCCTCCTCTGCCGTCCCGCCCGGCCTTCCGACCAATAACGCGGCTTCTCTTGCCACGGCGTCCAAAGCCTGGCTGACCCGTTGCTCTTCTGGTCTAATGAGGCTCGAAAAGGGATTGCTCATCAGGGGACCAGAGGTGATCGGCTTTATGGGGCGGGAAGAACTGTTCTTGCGTCTCACATTTTTCCCAGTGGGAATCAAGGTAACAAGTTTCTTATCTGGCTTCAAAATTGCAGTAAGTTAGATAACTTTTTTGCTTGCAGCCAAGATACATTTTTTCAAGGGGGAAAATGGATTTCTGTAGCAAAGAGAGGGTGAGAGCGCGCGAGAGATCGTTCAACATAGACTGCTTCAAGAATGCAAAAAGTTACACGCCGGGGAAGCCTTCGTGTAGCTTTAGGGAAAATGAGCAGCCGCACTCCTCCGCCAATCTGTCCTTTCCAGTCAATGAAAGACATAGGGTTTGAGGTTCCTTCCGAAACGGGGCCGGCTAATTTAGCCCCTCCCACGAGCCCGAGGGTCTGTTATATCTCTGGTCCTTGAGTACCTCTCTCACTGAGACGGCCACAGCAAGCAGAGGCTGAAAAAAAAAGAGCAAAGAGGAAGAAAACAAAAGCTGCCAATTATGGAAGATAGAAAGGGTAAGAGCAAAACTGATTTGATCCGAAATCTTAAGGGAAAAAAAAAAAAAAAGAAAGAAAAGAAAAACCAAAAGCCCGGACCCAAAGCAAGTACTTGAAAGAGCAAGAGGCAAAAAGCCTTAAATGAACTTTCCCATCCTCTCCTTCTGAGAAGAGGCAGAGAAAGAACTTTGGGAAACTTTTTAGGAAGCAAAGCCCAGGGGTTGTAGTTAAGGGTAGCTCTAGAGCAAGCTGGAGGGGCTCATGAATATTCATTATCAATTTGTATTCAGATCTGGTTTTTTCGAGGCAATCGACTTCTTCTGTCCCCAAACAATATAAGAGGCAGCTGCCTCATTTACAGTCCAGAGTCATCTTGCTTCGAGTCTGTACCTCAGCGTATTTGCTGGAAGATGCTGGGCTCCGTGTGTGCATTTGTTTTGTTCTCGAATTTCCTGCGTGCTTTCCTGTTGTGAAATTAGCAAAGGCTTCTCTGCCGGGAGTCAGACAGAGAAGTGCATGTGGCAAGAGGCTGTCACAACAGGACCCCTCAGTATGTTTTGCAAAAGCCTGAAAGTTTCTTGGGAGGTGTGGGAGAGTGTGGGGGGCGGGCAGAGGGCCGAAGAAGAACAGTTTTATCTTAAAAAAGCAAGGCATATCTGACTGACTATATTTAGATTTTGTCTAAAAACTACCAGAGCAGCCTGGTTTGCACAGATGGTGTACAGTCTCTGTCTTTTACCTCTTTTGGGCATTTTCTGCCAGGACGGAGAGCCAGCTGCTTGCCAGCGGGTAGGAGCCGGGAAGAATCTCTGCAGCAGGGTGGCTGTGTAGGGTTGAAAACCTTCTTCATCATCTCTAGTTTCTAATATCCCCATGTGTTTTTATCACATAGAACTTGGAGGAATGGGATGAGTAGCCAACAGGTTTCTTAGTAATGATAATAATGATAGCTGTTAACATTTACTAAGACTTTACTCTGTGCCGGCAGCTGTTCTAAACATATTACACGTGTTATTTATTCTTCACATCAGTGTATGAGGTGAGTGCTATCATTATCATCCCCATTTTCCAGATGACGGAGTTGAGGTAGTGAGAGAGTGACTTGCCTTGGTATCACACAGTAAGTGGTGACTTTGGATGCAGGCGGTTGGACACAGGGACCGCAGGCCTTTCTATTCCTCCACAGTTACTCACTTTGAAGGCTCTCCCTACTGCCCTGACACCATCGATTCCGGGTTTGCAAATCCTTAAAGCTACTGGGGAAATGATAGTGATGAAATCTCAAGTCTGGGAAGGAATTTGTGCTTTGCTATCAAGTTCACATACATTTTTCTCATTTGGTGCTCTTAGCCATTCTCTGTAGTAAAGCCCAGATATTGCTATTATTGCCTTTTACAAAAGGGAGAGACTGAAGCCAGGAAAGGTTAGGTGACAGGAATCGCACGGCTAGTTTTCGAAAGTCCGGACCAGACCAGAAATCCCCTGCATCTGGTTTCCTTTCTAACCTGCCTTGGTTGGAGGATACCCAGTCATCTCCAAACTTCTGTTCCCACACCCAACCACTTTCAGTTCCCCAAGAAACTTTGCTTCTTTCCTCCTTTCCAGACTATTGCTAAGGCACTTGCCTCTGCCTTAAAAGCCTGTCTGCCCTCTCCTTCCCCTGTAGTCTAGAGCCAAGCTGCCTGGGTTTGAATTCCAGCTCCACCATTTACTAACCGTGTATCTCAGTTTTCTCATCTGTAAAATGAATAGAAGAATATCTACCTCATAGGGTTGTTGTAAGGACTAAATGAGGGATGCATGCAAAGTTCTCAGAACGGGGCCTGATGCATATGGTATATGCTCAATAAATGTTAGCTGTTGCTATCACTCCTTCAAGTCTTATCTTGGTTGTTAGTCCCCGCTTTAAGCCTTCTCCAACCCTTCGAGCCTTAGATTAGGCCCTGTCTTGGATGTTTCTACAACGCTTCACCACTTATGCCTAAAGTGGTGCTCGTCATACTTGTCAACATTCCTGCCGTCTGCACAGCCTCCCATTTCCCCTGACTATAATTTCATTTACCTTTGGATCTGCAGTGTCTAGCACAATGTTTAGCACATAATGGGCACTCAATAAATATTTAGTAAATAAACTAAGTATTATTATTTTAGTTGATGTTCATCCAAGGGTCAGGAGGCCAGTTTAAAAGGGGACCTATGAGTTTGCAGTAGAGCTCCCACTGGGACATACAGCTCTTTTGTGCAATCTATAAAGCCATCCCTCTAAGTGAATACACTGAGAAACAAGATGCATCCCTTCTAGGTGGGTGATCTTCAGAGCTGATGTGACCTAATGCCAGGACACCCTGTTTGACTAGTCCAGCTCTGGCTGAACTTCAGCCTCCATTCCCCTCTCAGGCAGGGGCCAAACTGGAGATTTCAGATGCCTCATAGCACGACCTTGCTATCTCTGAACAGAACATCTTGTTCTAGAAATAGTGTTTCTCCAGCCCAATTTTATAGCAATCTCATAGTCTGAGACATTGTACTCTGGTAATAGAAGAAAAATAAACACAACAGAGATTGGCCTTGTGTAAAATCATAAAGTACATTAAATTTATTTCCAGCACCCTCCTTTTCCTCTTCCTGGCATACCTTCAAACCAGTTTGACAAATATTATTGTGTCTACCATTTGTAAGTCCTTATGCCAGATGCGTAGGATATAAACAGTTTGCTCACTGTCTAGTGAGGAAGACAGACATATATACAACCAACTCTAATTGAAGCCAGATTCTGTGAAGTGCTAGTAATCATAGCTAACATCGATTATTTATTATGAGCCAGGCACTACAATTTTTATATGCATCGGCTCATATAATCGTTACAACAAACCTATGATATAGGTTTCTGCATCTTACAGCTGTGGAGGGAAGTTGCTTGGCCAAGCTCACCTAGCTGGAAATAGGCAGAGGGGAATTTAGACCCATAGAGTTAGGCTGCAAAGCCTCGGTTCCTAATGGATAAGTTCTCCTACCTCCCTAAGAGCTGTAATAGAAGTCTAAAGAAAATGCCATGAGAAGTAGAATAGGGAGAGATGATTTCTGGGAAAACTTCTCAAAGGATAGGACACTTCAGTTGGACCTAGAAAGATGAGTAGAGTCTGGTGCCCACAACAAGCCCCTTTCAAGTCTCAGCGATGCTTAAAGACTTTTTGTCTTTTACCAAAACTACAGCCTAGATTTAAGAGTAAAAAAGATCTTTCACCTTTTCCAAGTTCCAAGCAGGGAACCTATTTACATATCCATCCTGGAGATTTGAAGGCAGGAGTCCAAAGTGTAGCCTTGACTATGAGTTTGGGATTACCAGTTATGTAATCAAATAAACTTTTGCAAAGTAATCAGCCAGATATTAAATGATTTCCTTAATCATGATGATTTCTGTGTCTTGCATGGTCGTTAGGCACATGTGGTAAACAGCTTTTACAAATGACAGTGACTGGTTTTGCTTTTACTTAGCCAAACCACATTTTAAGAGTGTTGTCTTTTTGGTTGCTTCTGCACTCTCTATAACCAGCGATTGTGCCCAATGGCATTAGCATTTAATCCCACCTGCCTTGGGTTGAGTACTACTGGGCTCAGCCTGTGCAGAGTGAAGGTGAGGCCCAGGGCAAATTACACAGGGTCTGTTCTTCATGAGCTCCGTTCCCTGAAACAGTTTGGAGGGAGGCCAGAATTGAGGGCAGCACTTGGAGTGAAGAATCACCAAACCTCTTGATGGTTTGATGGAAGTGCAGAAGAGTGGAGGCGCTAGCTTTGTCTTAGTGAGTGTGTGTGTGGGTTCTGAGGCAGTTTTTCTCAAACTTTAACATGCATATGCATCGTTGGGGATTTTGTTAAAATGTAAATTCTGATCCAGTAGCTCTGGGGTGGGGCCTGAGATTCTGCATTTCTAACAAGCTCCCAGGTGATGGTAATGCTGCGTCTCCATAGACCACACTTCAACTAGCTATGTTATAGGGCCATTGCATGCCTTAGTCTCAGGGCTTATTTCGGTATCAAATGACCAAGCCCTCCCTCACCCAGTGCCACCCCCACCCCTCTCCCAAGCTACCACTTTGAGTCGCTGATCAGCTATGTTATTGCAGGATGATGGGAAGCCTAATTCATTCATTCCTACAGTAAATATATGTCTTAGAATAGGAAGTTGAGGCCCCCAATTTTCCATACAAGAAACGAGTCTGAATCTTTATCGACACAAACTATTATTACACAAAAATGTCCTATATTGGATTTCCTGAACATCTCCCATCTTTTCTCCATGGCTCCAAGTTTCCCTAAACTGCTTTCATTCCCTGCCTCCAATCTGAGAAGTACTGGAGCAGAACATTTGGCTGTCTCCAGAACCCTGTGCTGGGCGTTTGGAGTGCCAGAGAGCAGGGGGGAGCAGGGACTCAAGGCCCTGAGACTAGGAGCCGCGTGCCTGGGGCATTGTCCCTACTCTGGAGGAGTGAAGTGGGAATGATCCCAGGCGCAAAGGAGGAAAGTAGGTGCAGAGAAGACAGATGGAATTTCTTTAGGTTTGGAAAATTGAGGGAATTATGAGGAAAAAAGAAGTTGGAGAAAAGGCAGTGGAGAGTTTGCCTAATGTGCTTACATCCTGAGTTTTGGTGCTAGAATATCAACATGATTTAGAGACCTAGGAACAATGGCAGTGTACGCCCTACATACAGAGCTGTTTCCTTTTGATTCATAGGAAGGATGTGGACAATTCCTTTAGGTCCGTGAGGGTGTAAGTAATATGGCACATGCTCATTAAAGAAAACATGAAAATATAGATTAGAGGAAAGAAGAAAAACAATCACTTGTGACAATATTTTGGTGTATTTCCTTGCAGTTCCTTTTACTATGCCTGGGTTGTTTCTCTCTTTTAGTATTTGCTTGACTAGGACCTTGAAAAATTATAAGATGGCATTGTAATCGTTAGGCTCTAATTTTAAAAATAGGAAATAGAAACATTTGTTTCTATTTCCAATAAACGT